CTTCAAACCTAGTAGAAGTTTTAGAAATACTTGAGTTCATATGAAGAAATAGCAGCAGCAGCATGAACCACCATCACCCCAAATTATTTTTAACCACTTCTTACCCCATCTTTACTGAAATGGCATGATCCTTCTGATTAAGAGTAACTAATGATAAGATTAAGATGATCCTTCATTTAACATTAATGATTAATAAATCAATACATTTAGTAGCTGAAGATACTAGAGTAGTTTCTTCATATTCAATTATTGCCCACAAAGATGCCTCAGGAGGGCGGTGCTGGGAAAGGGTTAATGATCTTTCACAAGTTGCTAAGCAACAGGATTCTGCTCTTACGGCATGTTTTACCAGACAGAGCTATGGCAATGATTACAACTTTTCTGCCTCTGAAAACTAGCTTTCTGAAAACTTCAAGAACAGCAAACCCCTAGGCTGTTCACAGACTTACATTTAGTTCCTGATAGCTATTAGCTTCCAAATTGCTTTGGTACATTTAATTTTCTGTTCCAAAACACACAAAGTATTTTAATATGAATTAAATGGTGGAAAAGAGGACTAACTAAAATGTAGCTATAAAACTAAAAACGAACAAAGAAACCCTAATATTAAGCGGTATTAAATGCCCACTAGTAAGTTCCTTCATGAGGTATTTGAAATATGAGTGAAAGCAAACTTAAAAGACTGCAGAAATTCATAAGCCAGATTCAGACTTCAGGGATGGTCCTTTCTACCTCTCAGAGAGGAAGGAGAGCTGCGAGGAGGGTACAGTCAACTCCAAAAGGCTGCACTGGAGATACAACCCAAACCACACCAAGACTGCATCAATCATTAGGGCTGGTAACTCACAAATCAGTCTCAGTTATTTCTGGTTATCTGACAGCACATATCTCCTAAAAATCTTAATGAGGAGAGAAGGACGCATCCTATAGTGAGCAAAGCCAAACAACAGGGATTAAAATATCCATGAGCTCTGGGGGAACACATTTCCAAGCTTTCACAGTTCATTTTCAGTGACTTGCTTCTGCAAAGACTCTGGGAACATTTAAACTTGCACGTGATTACCAAGATTGTTTTGGACAGAGCATATGTAAATTAAGCATACACATCAATCTTTGCTCAGCTTCAGTCATTTAGTCTCAGCCAATTTTTATGAGACAATACATAATCATTTTGTTGCCAGCAATTTTAGCAAAAACTACTAATCAGATCTTATGGAGCTGGTTTTTGTTTTGTTTCCCCTAATTTTTTAGCTGTCTCAAGTAATGGTTCTACTTATAGTAATAGTCTGGTTTGCATGTTCATTACAGGGGGATGTATAAACTTACTTGGGTAAACAAAAGTCTCAGCCCAAGCTCCTGGTTGCTGCCACTGTAGCAGTGCAGTGGGTTAGACACAAGCCCAGGAGTACCGGACTAGGAAGGAGCTCGACAACTTAACAGTGGCTCCAGCCTCCTTTTGGTCACTTTGAATGTTCACCAGAACTTAACAAAATGAAAACTAAACCCAAGTATTCTGGACTAACAGTTGCGTTGGTGAAAGCTGCCAAGTATACAGAGAGGATCAACAGCTCTCATGCTAGGATAGATTTTACTTGGGAGCAGAGAGGACATCTACATAAAGGAGGTCTATGAATAATGAGTTTGCCTTCTGGCAGCTTACTCCAAGAAGGCTGGGAGGTTTCCTTTGGAACTACTGGAGCTAGGTACAAGGTCAGCATGAAGGAATATTACATAGTGCATCACTACATAATTATTACCTGAGGTAAGCAAATGACAAGAAAAAGGATGAAAACTTATGAATTTGGGGGATTAGCCAGCTTAAATTTAATGAAAAATAAATTATCTTCCTTTCAGTCTGATAATGCTTATGCTGGTATTTGTTCCCTGGGATTTGTAAAGAGATTTAATAAGTGAACAATTTTCATCAGAATACTGGGACTTACTGTGTTAAATTAGTTTCCATCTCAGAAGAGAAAAACCTAAATTTCTTAAAACAGGATGGCTTTAATATTGATAAAGGTTAAAAAAAAACCCCAAACCCCGCCCCCAAATAACACAAAAGCCCAAAACCACACCCCCTCAAAAAAAGAAACCAAAAAACCACAAAACAAGCCCACAACCAAACCAAAGATCAAAAAACCTTTGAGTGAAAAAAGACCAAAAAAAAAAAACAACCTTAAATACAAGTGTTTGTTTTAGAAGATTCTGTTTTGTAATGAACTGGGTTTGCTTGTAAAAGACCTTGGATCTCAAGCCATGTGTGGATTGATTTATGCAAGGAGAAGCCGAGCAGGCTCAATTTGAAAACCACATCAGTTTCTGGACTCACAGCTGGACCAGAGAGACTTGTGGGATGCGGTCAACATGAGTGCTAGGAAATCTGACAGACAAGACAATCTTGTAGGGAGCTGGCAGCACTTCTGGAAACAGAACCAGCAGCTAAAAAGGAAGAATGCAAAGATGTAGTCAGAAGGAAACCTGGGCAGGGAAGCTGACAGGCTGCCAAGCAGGCAGGGTGGAGGCATTCCAGGTGGCTGATAGCCTTCTGCACAGATGCACAAGCACAAAGGCATGGAAACTATGGCTAAGCACAGTGGAGATACCTAGGTCAAGGACCTTACTTGATTGTACACTTGAACTTGGTACTTGACTTAGAAGGCTGGCAGTATTTAAGATCCAGACCTGAGTTCTGCTCTGGAAGCAAGCCCAAGAGACAAAACGGAACCACAGCCCTAGCTCATTTGTGAACCCCTGTGAAACCCTTGTATTTGTGGCTCAGTCCTTTCCTAGCGATGACCTACTGGTCAAAGAATACCTGTAAGATTTTCAGCCAGGCTTTCAAATACACTTGGTATGTCTCTATTTCAAAGTAGTTCGTGGTGTTTTGGAGGCAGCAATAAACTCTATGCCTTCAAGTGCCTCCTTCCACATCTAAAGGTGGATAAAATATCAAGCGCCCAGGAATCCATTCAGACTCTTTCAAAGACTTTTAGCAATAGGAATGGACAGTGAGTGACTCGAGGAGAGGAAATGAGTCACGAAGCAGCATCTCTGTTAGTGAGCTGGATTGTCCTACACTGAGCCAGGGCCTCTGAACGCCAAAGTGATTGGATTATATTTCTGCTGCATTTTCTGAAAGGAGGCAATAAGTCAAAGCTGGCATGGGGAGCTCTGCGTGCCACCCTTAGAAAGGCAGGGCTCCCACATGCTGCCAGGACGACTCTTTAGCACAGGGGTAAATAGCTTGAATCAGCCACCCAATTTCTTGGAATTATAGAAAACAGATCTGGAATGAGCCTTTCTCTCCTGCACAGTATTATTTTAAATGATTGATTAATATAATCTAAATTATTTCTTTGGGACCTGGAAAAGTATGCAAACCTGACAACGGCATGCATTTACTCAGAACAGTAACTTAGTCTTTCTGTGTCCAGTTAACCTATTTGGATTCTTTCTAGCCTCATTGCCTATGCCTCACAGTTAATCCTGCGTTTTAGTATCCAGCTCAGATGTGACTTAGCTCACATTTCCACACAACCCAACAAAACCTCGCTCCACTGGGGGAGGTGACTCAGAATACATCAAGGTCTTCTTGTGTTGTTGCTTCCAGTCAACTTTCACTGAAAACCTTCCCCAGGAGGGACTGGAATGACCTGTTGCCTGCCAGCTTAGCTTAGTTTAAAGGATGACTTATACATAAAGAAAACAGGTAACTTAAAGTGATTTTTTGTTTTTAAAAATTGCTCATTTTTCAGAGTTCTAAATTCTCCTAACCTTGTAATTTGCTACTATACTTATAAATCCACATATAGCTGCATTTGATATGTGAGTATAGTCAGGCTCCATTTAGCCAGGAAAATGCCACTACGTGGAAGGAAGCCATCTGTTCTGAAACAATCAGGTTGACCTTGTTTTCTCCGTAGGCTGGGATCTAAGAGAAAGGCACATCTTTGTCTCTCTGAGGAGACAAAGTGCCATGCTCTTGAAATGCAGAACAGCTTCACAGGGACGCTCAGAATCTCTGCTGCAATGCACAGAAGGATGATGCTCATGACAGGAAGATCAGGCTGCCAGGGAAGCGGGTGCAACAGGTATTTTATCTTTATGAGCATCAACTCAAGCCGTGATTCACTGGGAGGATGCCTACTACCCAGGTCTGAGAAGCAGGCAGTAGTGAGTAACTGCACCAAAGTCAGAACTGCTTCTGCCTTTGGTACCAAACATGTGAGAATAGCTTGTAGCTGATGCACTGGAGTCATCTGATGTGTTAGCTTACACTGGACATAGAGCCCTTTGTAAATCACGTGGTGCCAGATCAAGGATGGAAGCTGGAAGAGAAACTTATTCCTGACCTTAGAAGAAAGCAGGCATGGGAGAACTGGCATCTCTTTAAAACTTTAAGCTTTATAAATTTAAATTTGGAAACTGTTATTTTTCTTATAGAAGAATCAAAGAGCAGAAACATCACAATTCAATATGTGAGTGCTCTGTCAATAATTAATAATGACACATTTAATGTAATAGGCTAAGGCATTATATAAATGCCCTGATGCTTATGCCATGTAAGATAGGGACTGCAGCCCTCAAGACCCAGCAGGTTTGAGAAGTCTGCATGAGCTCTCCTGAGCACAAATCAAGAGGTCAGAAGTGAGGGAAGAAATCTGATTATTTGACCAGCAGCCAGTTCTGCTTTTCCTATCCCGTAACTCTGTGATCACTAATGAGCACCAAGGCAGGCGAGCAGACAGGCTTGTGCTATGATGAGAGAGCCTGTGGGAGGGATACCAATCCTTCAGTGTCACAGACCTTATACTTCTCCTGCAACACTGACCTGAGATCACAATTTATATTTGTACCTACTGGACAGTTTCTTGTTACTGTTGACCTGGGCCGATGGATGCTTCCAGAACCCATCATTCAATTGCAGATGGTTTTGGTCCCTTGTGTTAATTTTTCTCCAATTATTATTTTTCCAGACAAACTCACATTTTTTTGCTGTGTACAGAGAGCAAGAGATTTAATGGCTGGCTGAATCAGTTATTTCAAAAAACAACAAAACAAACTATGCTGGCTTTGCAATTAGGAGAAAAAATGTGACTGGAGAATAGGGAAAACTTGTTTTGAAATCTGCCAGCCCTTCCCACTGAGAATGCCTCCAGCTGCAGAAACATCAGAGTAAAGGCCATCAGCTGTCTTCATCCACATAGCAAGGACTCCAGGAGAGGGAGATCAGAGGCTCGCAGGTGATCAGGATTACATTCAGTCTTAGGCTTTGGTGTCCCAGAAGATTTCTTGTTGCTGATTGCTTCTCAGTCTTTTTTAATACACCTCATGTGGCCAATTTCTCTGGGTGGCTTTTAATAACCTCTTCAGGTTTTATTGTTTTGTTGCATTCACATCTTTCTGGAAATACTTTTCTTTTTAATATGTTTGCCCACACAGCATGTCTGATTTCTCAGGGAGCAAGATCTCTTCAGTAGGATCCTTTTTAATGAGCAACTGAAAAAAAAAAACATCTTTGGTAGAGCCAACATTTGACATGAGGCCTCAGAAACAGTGTTTTTTTTAAATGCTTTCCTCCTTTTGATTTGGCTCATACATTGTAAGCTCCTGCTTGATTTCCTCCATTTTTCATATTTCTCAACTTTTCAATAGCAACTTTGCTCTGAAAGATGACTTTTACTATTGCATGCTATACAAAATATGCTCCATCTGCAAACAACACAATTTGCTTTCCTGATACCTTTTCTACTGCTAGTATAAACAACCACCCTAAACTGGTATTCAAACTGGACTCTATCCATGTCCCAGACTCAGTGGCTCATGACACTGAATCTTACAATATCTGGAGTAATTAGTAAAACTAGGTATACCTATAATGTTGTCAGTTTATACCTATAATGTATGTCAATTTATGAGAATCACAGCTTTCAATATACAAGTTTCTCCAAGCCTTAAAATTAATAGGATTTTTTTTTGAACATAGGAATCTCCAAGGCTCGGAAGGCAGAAGTTAAAAAAGAAGAACTCCAGTACGGATGTACTAAAGGACCAAAGTTACAAACCAGGCACCCTTGGGCATCCTTTTTCCCAGGCTGTGATTCAGCGGGAAAGACAGACACTTGGTTCATGATCTCTGATGGATTGGGACAGGTTACATGCAGAACCTCCCATTGTCACAATCTGTAAATTGAGCTCTTCTGATAGTACCTTTCATGGGTTTGCTATTTTTTTTGCTATTCATGGGTTTGCTATTACAACACTATTCACTACAGCATGGCAATGATCTGAAAAACTGAATTTAACCCATTCACTGACAATTTCTTCAGTGCTTCTGCTCTAAATTCAAATTCTAAGATCAAATTTTTCCCTCCCATGTCCCCTGATAGATACCAGGTCACCCTGGTGAAAAGGGCACAGGATTGTTTTTTCCATACTGTTCTCATGCTTCAGTCCTGCTTTGTTTCCAGTCTCTCCATGGCTGGTCTCCTGTGCTGTGCGATGACCCAGATTCACCCATCATCTGTCATTTATTTACAGACAGCACAGAAACCTTAAAAACCCCAAACTCACCACACTGACACATCAGCTATCCCAGTCCCAGGACCTACAACTTACTTAGGCTCATCTCTGGTCCTCTTGAGAAAGAGCCAGTCCAGCCATCCCTGAACTCCTCAGCAGGGACCACTTGCTTTCTCCATCAATGCCAGTTCTACAGAGAAGCCTTTCTAGCATTCCTTTGGCCTTCATTTAATTCTGCTGCTCATCAGAAGAGCTACAGCTCAGCTGCTTAGTTAGCCCGCCTCTCTCCCCATTCTTCTGGTTCTTGTTTCCTAGCTCAGGACAGTCAGCCAACATGTTGCTGGCATCACAGATTTCAACCCAGTGAAACCACTGCTCCCCCCATAAAATTACACATATCTTCTCTGCTGGTCCTTTGCTGTCTCCCCTAAACATCTAAATAGCCAGCCACCTCTCCTGCCCCACCAGGAACCATGTACTTGCTCAGGGAGTGAGGCCAACTCTTCTGAAAGGGTCCAGACTGGCCATCACAGGTGCAGACTGAGAAATGAGCTCTGGAAATTGTCTCATTACAGAAATGGCAAATCATCAGCTATTGCATTTCTAGGACAACTCTTTCTTCCACAGTGATACTATCTGGTTTCATCTACCAATATTTATTTCCATCTATCAAGAATAGCACATCCCACTGAATAAGTGAATTTTGCTGTGGTAAGAAGCTTTAGAATTTGGGGCTAATGTGTGTGTGGAGAAGTTGACACAATCAGTTAAGCTTTTCTACTAATCAGTTAAAGAAGACAAATATGCAGTAAATTGGCCACTAGTGCTAAAGGAAGAAAACATATTCCATTCTCAACAAATTATTTAAAAGTTTACTCTTTCAATGTCTGCAACTAATTGGGTTCTGCCCACACATCAGTGGCATACCATAAATCCATAAAACAATGCTCTAAGACAGAAAGATTCTTCAGATTCAAATGTTTTCATAATGTGTTTTTTTCCTCATTATTCCTCTGTCAGTCAGAATAACAACTTCCTACTCACATGGTATAGGTAATTAAATGTTTGCAGGCAATCCCACTCCCCTAATGGTCCCAGCACTACAGCTATGTAGGTGAAGTTGAACCTGACATTTTGTCAAAGCCAAGTGGTATGCTTCTGTTCTAAAGCAGCTTCAACTCACCATTTAGTGGGTGGGATTGCTCTGGGAATAAAACTGCCCTTCTTATTCTACCACTGGGTAAAAGGCAGCAGCTCTTGTCTAGGACACTTAAACAACCTACAAAAGGAAGATTTGAGTAGTGAATAATTCACCATGTAGGAATTTATCCAGTTCGGACCTTGTCTGAAATAACAATCCTACTCATCCAAAGAAGAATTTGATGAACTCTCTGGTCATTGTGTATTGGCAACTGAAGTTTGAAGCTCATCACAAGAAGGATGAGTGCAATTTATCCTGCCAAGATACTGATCCAGCACTAGGTCAAAACGATGGAGTCATCCCCAGGAGCTGTTTATGAGCAGGATAACCATCAGTGAACAAACCTGGGCAAACCTGCTTCCTTTAAGAATATACGACTGGAACAGGTTGCCCAAAGAAGTGATAAATGTTCCATCCCTGGCAGTGTTCAAGATGAGGATGGACACAGCTTTGGGCAACATGGCCTAGGGTGAGGCGTCCCTGCCTATGGCAGGGGGAATGGAACTAGATGATCTTAAGGTCCTTTCCAGTCCTAACTGTTCTATGATTCTGACTTCAGGCTATGAAATACGCCAGATCTCCAGCCTTCCAGTAAAATCTGTGTCTTGCCCTGTCAAGGGCATTTGCTTCTCAAAGAACTCTCTTCTAGAAAATATACCCAACGGTTGAAGTAGTTGAAGCAAGTGAGATGTAGCTGACGGTCAGAGCTATATTACATAAGCTTTACATGAAGCTGTTAAATCATGTATATGCTTGACTGACAACGATGACTATCCAAAAGCTATTTACAGTGGCATCGATAAATCAGTGAGATCATTGTCCTGCTTCCCTTCCCAATACCTGGATCCTAGCAGATCCAGGTAAGTCAACTGTGCCTTCATAATGAAAACAAAAATTTAATTATTCACAAGCATTCCCCTTGAGCTTTCTCTGGGCTTTTTGTGAATGATTAACAGAGCAGCTGCTCCAGACAGCACTCTCAATCCTCGCTTGCTGGCCTGTTAAAAGCAGTGACTCATCAGCACATGACGTCAAACCCTCCTCTCCTCTGAAATGGCAGGAAGGAGGTTTCATTAAAAAGATAAAAAAAGGTATCAACATAACAGCCTGAACTTCCTCCCAGACACACGGGGCTTGGTCAGGGGTCATCTCTGCCTCAAGAGTTACACCATGCACATTGCACTGACAGCTCCTTCAAAGGGTAAACTTTTCTGGTGAATACTGGAAACATAAAACCAGGTACCTCCTCAGGCAAGTTGGTTTATTAGATACCGACTCAAAATCAAAACAAACCCCCAGCGTTAGGCCTTTCGGGAAGCCCTTCTCGAGCATCTCACAGGAGCACTGCCCCACTCAGTGGAGCTTGGCAGGGCAGTGAGCAGGCATCGTAGCTCTCTCTATGCCCAGAGCAGGGTGGGAGTACTTTCACAAGATGTTTACACAACACAAAGTAGTTGTTAAGCAGTCCTTGAAAGTGCCCAAACAATACTTCCCAGTAACACCCGATAAGGGTGACCAAACAGACATGCAGAGAAGCAGCATCAAGTCCAGTGCTGCCAAATTCAAGACCCTTCCCGTGCCTCTGTTCCTTGCTAAAGGTAAACTGAAATGTGCAGACATGAAAAAATATGTGAACGCAGCCATGATTCTCTTCGTCAGAAAGGTGGGCCCAGTGCCATGAAAGATAGAAGCAGAAGTAACCTAGAAAGGGGCTGTTTCTGTGTAGTTAGAATTCAGATTTTTAATCCAGACGGCAAGTCCTTCTGTTGCATGGATAACAGCATTTTACTCGGAAACTGTGCACAGCAATGGAGAGGAGAACAAGCCGAGTAATCTGAGTTCTTCTCTTACATGGGATTAATTACTGGCATCTGTGATGTTTCACTTTCTCTGCTAGCTTTAGGCTGCAAAGCCAAGCCTCAGTCTCCTCGGAGCCCAGCTCCCGCAGCAGCGCATCCCAGGCTGCAACCACTTGTTCTTGAGCTGCAAAGGGCCACAGCAGGGGACAGGAGATATATTTAGCTCCATGTTCCCGGCTGCCTGGAGGACAGCATCGCTTACAGCCTGCTACTGACTTCCCCAGCACCGTGCTGGAAGCAGAAATACTGCTGTTAGCTCAATCTCTTCAGCAAAGGCAGTCAATTAAGGAGTAAAGTGGAGGTTTGGAAAGAGAGCATTGGCAACGTGGGGCACATCCACACACACGGGCTTTGTGCCAGAGCTGGAAAGTGCTGGTTGTGTATGGCTGCGCTCCCACCTGCACTGCTTCTGATACTTGTTCAGGCCACAGATAAGCTATGAAAGCCCAAAGATGACTGAAATGACTGACCAAACATACGTGACAGAAAAGGTGCAGAAAAAACAGTGTAACACACAAGCCTCTGCCTGACATACTTTTCAAATAAAAATAGATTTTATAAATCAACATAATCTTGATGTCATTTTGCTGAAAATAGTTCATTGTCCGACCTTTTGGCTTTCTCAATATTCTCAGCCTTGACTCTCTTTGACTGCTTGATTTTCAGTGGGGTCCCTGTCTATCAGCAGGCCAAATCAGAAGTTGTTTTCTCAGATATGCAGCAAAGGGAAAGTTCACAACAAAAATGACCCCTGGGTATCTGAGTTAGCTCTGGACAACAGAGCACTCTAAAATGGGAGTGAAAATACTCTTACTGCTTATCTTTCTAGAATCACTTAGCGATGAAGTACCAATAGACTTGAATTTTGCACATGCCTCATAATATCAAGTTTAGACCCTAAATAACATTTCAGTTTGAAAAAGTACCTAGCTACCATCTTACTTAGTGGTAGTAATGCACTATGTAAAACGTCACTGTATTGCCGAATTCATCTGAGCTAAATTGAGTACTGTAATTACTTAAGAAGGAGAAATGAGGGATACAATACCAGAAATATGGTCATCCCTCAAATAAGGCTTTCTAAAAGACTTTGCACTCTTGGCAGAGACAGAAAGAATAAGAAAGGGACAGGTTGCAGAAGTGCTGGCAGATGGAACTGAGGACTGAGCAGAACACAGCCCCTGGGCTCCACTGCTCTGTCTTCCCTGGTGATAAAAACCCTTTCATTCTCTCTGGGGAAAGTCAGTTAAAAGTGAGTAGATAAAGGAAGAGATGTGAAATGAAGGGGAGTTAATGGAAGCGCTGGAGGTAGGAGAGGCTGCCCCCAATCCCACCACTAGCTGGCACTGAGGACCTCTCTAATGCTCTTGGCAGTCATCCCTGACTAAGAGATGTCTTGCTGCCCGGTGTGCCACAACCCTGGAGGACCTCCCTCCTTTCCTGGACAGCATCACCTTGGAGCAGAAAGGGAGCACTTTCACTCCTGTTTACGTGTGTCGCACTATTACTCACATATACAGCCTTCCGCAGCTGCAGAAAGTTATAAGTTTAAAACA